ATTTTTAAATATAAAAAAATCCGCATTATAATATAAAGCTAAAAATAATATAAATTAAAAATTATTTTAGGAAACATGGACAACGTGGAGAAAAGGAATATTTTTTAATTGGTTACAGATACCTGCAGCAACTTTACAATTTATATGTTTGTTTTTAAATGAAGTTCAGTTTTATTATTTCTTTATTTCTATTCTATTATTTATTTCCTCCATTTTTTATATATTTCGCAAAATCATGACTGCGGCACAGTCTCGAGTGTCTGCATGCCGAGCGCATGCCGAGATCGAGGCGCGTAGGTATAGCTCTCGCTTCGTCCGTTTGTATGAAGTTGGAATACTGTATAGATAATATTACCGTGACTAAAGCGATAGCAGCATAATGTCGTATAATGATCCTGGTACAACATCGATGCAACATCCAGCCTTGTCTACCAAACTTAAATGACAACATTATTTAGGGTCGCATGCTACACTTATCCAATACTTGTAATAATATTGGTTACTTAAAAACGAGGCTGTTAGTTTATCCCTTTACATATATTTGTAATATATTTTTATTCCATTTTATCAGGCTTAAAAATTAAATTAGTAATATTTCGTTAGTGCCCGCTGATCGTTTCGGGTTGTTACCCGTGTACTGTGCACTGAATAAATAATAGTAGTAACTCTTAGCTACCACATATCTTTCATCTATGGTTCATAAAAGATAGCTTGATCTCTACGACAGCTGTCAGTAAAAATCACGCCTATGAAGTCCTGACTTTCTTAGTAGTACAGACAGTACATGTCAATGTCATACTTTATGGGCATGCACTAATTAGGTCGGCATGTCCATAAAATATGACATTGACAGGTACTGTTTGTCTGTACTACTAAGAAATTCAGGACTTCATAGGCGTGATTTTTACTGACAGCTGTCGCAGAGATCAAGCTATCTTTTATGAACTATACCATCAACGACGAACTCACTCTACTAAGAGAAGAGTACCGTAGGCATCATATTCTTAATAGAATAGGATGTCTACGGTACAAAATCCTAAGTTTTGCTTATTAATAACGGTTAAAGTAAGTAAGTATACATAAATGTTTCTACCTACGTCCGTTATAGGCTTTGAAACCATCCAACCAATGTGCCCCAAAACGGTTTCATTAAAAAGGCAATAATGCGAAGATGGTTTTAGACCACTTAAACAATGCATTAGATACTATATTTTAAAAAAAAAAAACAAATAAAGAAAATTTCCTTTTTTTTTCAACAAATAAAATGTATTTCTATTTTAGCGTAGCAGCACACGCCGGGTATCCGCTAGTCCGAATTAAAATTAAGCCCACATGGATCGTGATTCGTGATTAAACTTTTTTACGCAAAAACTATAACATTCTAAATGAATATTCCATCTTTATGACTTTCAATTGTTTTTGCATTCAGTATTTTATATAATCATGGAGTACGCAAAAATTAGATTAATTTTCGAATACGAATTCCGACGAAGTCCTAAAGCAGCAGAAACTTCGCAATACCAGTGCTGAGTCTGAAGAGAATGTGACTAACGAACGCAATGGGTGCGTTTGGCAGAAAAAAGCGCTAGCAAGCGCTTGTAAGCAAAATGGCGATCGTAAGCGGTAAGCGCTGTCAAATCGTAAGTAGCTATTTTCCTCCAGGACACGATGTTAGTTTTAACCGGGGAACCTAACCTAATTTAAATATATGTTTGTAAAGTATTCATATTAAAAACTTCCATTCACATTAAAACCAATCATGAATTTTTAATAACATGTATATGTCTATTCATGTCATTATATTACTTAAAACTAATATAGCACAAAACAACTTATAAACTCTACTTCAAAACAAACAAATTAAATAAGCAAAATGGCGGATTGTGTCAGCGCTACTGAAGTAGCAATCGTGTCCTGGCCGAAAACTATTTTAGCGCTTGTAAGCGCTTGCTAGCGCTTTTTTCTGCCAAACGCACCCAATGTGCGTTTCTTATTTAGTTGCAGACGTAATACAAACTTTAACTTGAACTATGAACCATGGCGAAGATCGGAGATAATAATAATAATAACTTACTAACTACTTAGGTAAATAACGATGAATTAAAACTAATAGTGGAAGCCGATCACTATCAAACGTGCGTGTGAACAAGCAGTGACAAGTGATAAGTGGGAATAAAACTCGCACTAAGCACTCAAGCCCGGTTTACATTTAGCCCGGTTTACATTTTGAGAAGTGACAAGTGCGAGTGACAATGACAAGTGACAAATAGCAAGTTGGTGTTTACACATGTGGCAATTGGATGTCATTATTATGTGAAATCTTCGAGTGTGAAATTGGGTTAGTAATTGTCAAAGAGGCGCTAGCACAGCTTTAAAGTTTAAAACTTGTATCTCATCATACAAGTTTACCTTTTTTTGATTAAAAAGATGTGTGAAGTGCCTTATTGCAAAGATATTGGTGCACACCAATTTCCTAAAATAGCTTAAGTGAGAAAAATGTGTCTTTAAAGCTATAACAAGGAAAAAATTTAAGCCTGAAAATAATATGGCTCCAACCCTGACCTACAGGAGTCTTTAATTTTCTTCTTTTCTTGGTAATATGTAAACTTAATGCTTCTTAACTTCGCATAAACCTACTTTACTTCTTTGGCATAGAAGCGTCTCGCATCATTTTTTTTTAATTCAGCGATTTAATATTGTATAAACATTCGTGTTTCAATAATTCCTTGACAATTTTAATGTTATTGCTATCTGACCACTTCGTAATAAAACAAAATTATTATAAATACGAGTATGTATACAATATATATATATAACAAAAATATTTTATTTAATAACTATTATAACCAACACGTGTATGTTCTGACGTCGCCGCTAGAACGGGGGCGGCGGTGGGTGACTGAGGGGAAAGCAAGGTTAGCGCGGGGCAGAGATACTTGTCAGAGAATAGAGCAGGCCGCTATTCACTTGTTACTTTTCATTTCGCACTTGTCACTTGTCACTCGCACTTGTCACTGCCTGTTCACACGCACTAAGCACTTGTCATTTGTCACTTGTCATTGTCACTCGCACTTGACACTTCTCAAAATGTAAACAGGGCTTCACTCGTCATTTGTCAGTTGCACTTGCCACTCGCACTTGTCACTTCACAAAATGTATACCGAGCCTGGGTCGATCGGTAGGCAAAAACGATGTTATCCATAAATCACATTCAATTTAGGATAATTTCAAATAAAAGTAGGAGCTTTATTTACTCGTATTTTCAAAAACTGCAATAACGGTACATCATTATTTATATATCTGAACTTAAGTTTAAAATTTAACTGTTCTTTGAAAAATAATAATATATACGTCGTGACGAAGAAACAGATTTTTTAACATAAAACTTCTAGTTTACGGCGGATTGTGAGTTACATGAGAGCTAATAAATGAAAAGCAAAGAAAAATGAACACTACTTATCAGGTGGATTGCAAGTTCGTTTGTCACCTAAGTTTAATATAAAAAAAGATAATATATTTGTAGGAATACAAAATTTAAATTATCGATTATCTACAATACTTAGAGTATACAATACTCTAGTCTGGCACTGCGATAGCCTTGAGTGAGTTCAGCGGTAGTGTTTTATAAGGCAATAATAATAACAAGATTTTTATTTACAAAACACTCTCCAAAAAGTTTCATTCAAATGCGTTTAGGAATATTGGATTCCGAGGTGAATACCCCTAGGCACTGCACTAGATAAATCTATTGATGAATACATTCATGAAATTATAAAGACAAAAACGTCATCGTCTCGCGTCGCATCGCTATTTATTACGTATAATAAAATAGTACTGTCTAGGACAGGGGTAACGAACCTTTATGTATCAACGTGCCATTTTTCTAAAGAAATGTTTAATTAAAGAAATTATGTTTAATAGCCAACCGTAAACCATCGTGAATATTGGGAAAATAATAGTAGGTACTAAATACTATCGACTCAAAACTCTTTATTTACTACAAAAAATAAATAAAGAGTTTTGAGTTGAGACATTTATTATACTATACATCGTAAATTGGGGTTGCAAAATCCTATATATAACACAAATGAACTTTTAAATACAGATGTGTCAACGAAATTAAGTATTATGGACTTGTGAAGGGCTGTAATGATGATGATGAAACGAACTATGCGTCATTAGTAATAGTAGTCCACAATGTAACTAGGATCACTCACGTTCATTCGTAATATAAAACTTCATAGTGAACTTTGTGATCGGTGGCATGCCCAAAATATTGAGACGCGTGCTGACGATGGCACTGCACTCGTCGCAATATTTTGACCTCGCGCATTTGTGGCTGGCGTGCCATTGGTTGGCCATCCCTGATCTAGGAGTTAGTTACTTATATATCTAAAAAAGCGGAACTAAGCAAAAATGTTAAGTTTTTAGAAATCAGTTCATCATCATAGTCATTATTATCAATGTCCCACAGATTGCTACGAGGGACTGGCCACTTCCAGGTCGTTTCACATAGCGGAAGGTTTCCACTCCTACTTTAAGTTACCACTTAACATAATAATAATATAATATCCTCCAGACCGAATTTCGGCCACGGCGGCCTACCTCAACGGAGGTTAGCCATCGGTGCAGGACAGGATTATAGTGCCCAAGTGTATGCGCAAGCACAGGTGCACTCTCTATTCCCTCACTCTCGTAATTCAATGGGACGGTAAAGCGACACGACCGGGAGAGAGATCAGGCGCAGGACCAACGGCTTTAGGTGCTTTCCGAGGCACGGGGGTGAGACACCGCCAACTTCCTGACTCCGGGCAGCTACTGAGAATTTCTTGACAGAAAAACCCAGTAATTGATTTTTTGGCCCGACCCGGGATTCGAACCCAGGAACTCACGATCAGCAGTCGCACTACCACAACCACTAGACCAACGAGGCAGTCACCACTTAACATAAGTGTACATTACGCGTAACATAAGTGTGATAAAACTGAAAATATATTTACCTGATCACTATATAGGACTTGTACTCCTCTTATTGTGCCGACCTGACTCTGTATGATGGCAACCGACTGTGAAAAGTGCATCCCTGCAATACAAAAAAAAGATTGTTAACAATGTATTGGCAGCACATAATACAAGAGAGACTTCAACAAACTTCAATTATGTTAGAAATTTTAAATTATAACCAAAAATAAATAAGAATCAATGTGGTAGGTAAACAAGCGGTAAAATTTAAAATTTGGTACAACCCATTTCAATGTAAATAAAATGGAAACATCATAAATGTAGTCGAAATCAATTAAATACGCATTATTACGGATAAATCAAAAACTACTTGGTCAGATCTTGGCCAAATATAAATGGTACTACTTGAGAAGCACCAACTTTCAAATAAAAAAGACATATCAAAAAAAAAAAAAATACAGCCCTATTAAGAACTTCCTCCTTTTTTGAAGTCGGTAGAAAAAAAGAAGAATTACACTCCCACACAGTTATTATAAATTGAGAATGTGGGGGAATTGAATAAGATTACTTAAAAAAAAGTATTTTATTAATAATTTGTATAATTTTTATAGAATAAAACGAGCACACAGTCCACCTGTTGGTAAGTGGATGCTGTGCCCCATAAGTACATCTGCATTTATCCTCGATTAAGAATCAAAAATGCAGATGCGTTGTCACTCCTGAGGACTACGATAAGATGCCTCGTTTCCAGTAAAAAGGGTCTCCGGTTCTCTACACTCACCATACGAAACACAGCAGCATTAAGCTACTATTTTACGCTGGTATTCCGTGAGAGCGTGGTCCTTCCCCGGTCGAGTCGACCCATCCGTGCTACAACCATAATATAGCTGCAGCAAAAAATTGTACACTAATCAAATAATCAATAACAGGAAACCCCTAAGTGACATGCTGAACCACTTTCTGTCTAATCCACTCTGGAAATTTTGTGAATATTAGAAACAAAATTACGAATAGAAACGAATTTTTTATACGCGGTAGAGCCATGCTGCAGTTATATTAGACGTATAGTTGTAGCACGAGTGGGTCGGCTCGACCGGGGAAGGACCACGCTCTCACAGAATACCAGCGTAAAATAGCAGCTTAATGCTGCTATATTTCGTATAGTGAGTGTAGGGAACCAGAGAACCTTTTTTACTGGAAACGAGGCGTTCCATCTTAGTCTTCAGGGGTGCCAACGCATCCGCATTTTGATTCGTAACCGAGGATAGATATAGATGTCTATGGGCCACAGCAACCACTTACCATCATGTGGACTGTGTGCTCGTTTGTCACCCTATACTATAATATACTATGGAATAATCCTATGTAACTTTTCCTATCGCAGATGTATCCCTCTATTACAGACTTGGAAGGATAGTCTAGGTAGCGAGTCGAGATTGCTAAAAAAACCAACTTCTAGATGCGAGTGTTATTCAGTCATTCGAGCGTAAGATTTCACTAAGTAAGAAAGACCTACGACCAAGAGAATAAAATTCCTTAAATTTGTCTAGGTAGAAAGTGATAAAAAAATCATACATATAATATATAGATCTCTTTCTACCTAGATGTCAGTCGCTACTAAATAATGGAATGAATGAAATAATATACAAGACTTTATTGTACACCAATAAACAAGAAAATAAAAAAAAATTAAAAGGTACAATTGGCGGTCTTATCGCTCAAAAGTAATCTCTTACAAGCGCAGAGGTTAAAATGCCCTATGAGAAAGGGCAAGGAATAAAGATGTAAGCAAGTTATTGGAAAATATACCCGACCGCTAAACCAATACTCATTCATATAAATATGAATAATAATCAATACTTACACGCATAATACATACATTTAAAGGACATAAATAAGACTGATATATAAGCCTATTAAAAATGAATTTACGTCAGCATTTTATACGTGTTAGAGCCACAGTGCAGCTATGTTATGGTTATAGCACGAATGGGTCGGTCCGACCGGGGTAGGTTCACGCCCTCACAAAATACCAGCGTAAAATAGCAGCTAAATGCTGCTGTGTTCGTATGATCACTATAGAGAACCGGATACTCTTTTTACTGAAAACGAGGCTTACCACATTAACCCTCAGGGGGCGACAACGCATCTTATAAATTATATATATATATATAAACTATAAATCACATAAACACATGGCTAGTTAACGTAACTGTAATTAATTATTATTTATTAACCCCTGGTTATAGTGAACGAGTCTTTGCCATCGGTATTTCTCGCTCGATTTTTTTTAATTCGTGTGTTTTGGAAATTATATTTAAATACAAATTACATACTGATGAAATATAAATAATATTTTTTGATCTTAGCGACATAACAGAAAAAACGGAACTGGTTATTTGAATAAAAAATCATGAGTGCAATTATTTTAATTTAAATTTTCGTGTTTTTAAAAAATACTAAAAAAGGGCTCGAAAAAAATAGATTTTCTCAAAAAAAGAAAGGAACTTGAAAAAAAATTAGAAAAGGTCGGTCGGTCGGTCTGGGCTCGAACCGGGGTTTTACAATTCTGTGACCGCCCATTATACCAATTAAGCTATTTATAATCATTAACAATCTGTCAAAATTTACCTTCTTATTCTAACGATATTGTAGCAGTTTTTCATTGCCTAAAAACACGGACAAAAAGACATTTTCTAAAAATAAATCCTAGTTAGATCGATTTTTTTATCCCCGAAACTCCCTGGACACTAAATTTTATGAAAATCGTTGGAGCCGTTTCCGAGATCCCGATTATATATATATTTATATATATATATATATATATATATATATATATATATATATATATATATAACAATTGCTCGTTTAATAGTATAGGATTATAACAGCTCCCTGTTAATAGATAAAACTATAGCAGAAAACGCGTGTCCTTTGTCCTACAATCGGTACTACTCGGCTATTGTTTATCTCAAAACATTTTTATGTCCTGTGGAGAATTTATAAACAAATACGACTTTGCCATGGACGTATAAAAACATATTATTATATTTTGTTTTATAGAAAAATAAAATTTTCGAAAATTATTTTTTTGAAATTAATTATAAATTAACTAATAGTAATAGACATGGATTAGGATTACGGATCATAAGAGAGCATTTAAGGAGAAATTCATTGTCATACAGTTTAACTAAAAGAAAAAATATTCTGCGCTAACTTCCTTTCATAGTATTTTAGTAACTATTATCTGATATAAAAAAGACCTAAATCGATTTTGCAAGTTCGATTGATTTACTTTAGCCACAATCACCCAACGGTGGGTGATATTTATAGCTCCGGGGACAGCGACAAACTCCTTAAAGTATCAACGTGAGCGAGCGAATTAAGTTCGAGAAAACATTAGATCCTGAAGACTGAAATGTTTAATATGTGGGGAAGCATGAGGACCTTTCAATTATTGCGTGCAATGCATAACAAGTGAACGACCGTACACATCGAATATTAAGTCCGAGCTCAATTAAGGCAATACCCCACTTAGCGCACACCCCATGGAAGTCCCTACAGACAATATATTTAACTTTGTCACGACTAAGTTTATTTAAAATGATAATGTAACCTTCTTTTTATGAAAAAAGACGAACGTTCCATAAACTCTATATTAACCACGTCATATTATGCATGTTTAGAGTTAAGTGATAGGAGTAGGTTTGGATTTCAGTTCCATGATATTATGTAGCATATTATGCCCTGTGGTAGCAACTTAAGAGAATCTTATGGATTCCAATAGTTGGCAGTATAACCATCTCGTTAAAGTTAGACATAAAATACATAGACCGGCAGCGGACAGCATCCAAGTCCAAGGTGCAAGATGTGGGCAAATCCGCTGTGCAACGGGCACCAGCATGCATTTCTTAATCAGCCCATGTGCAGCAGTGAACTTTTATGGGCTAATAAATAAGAAGATGTATTATCAAGTCAACCATTTTCTTTTGTGAGAGCGGTTATGTATTTCTGAATTAAACGTCTCATCGGGGTCACGCCCACCGCGTTGCTTCCCGAACCCAACGAAGTGTGGCATAGGAAAGGGGGCCAGTACTTGGTGGATCACTGTTAGAGCCTGAGATTAAGAAGCAAGACCGTCCCTTTTCAGTAAGTGATAAGTAAATACAATGTTCTACGAAAATACTCCATCTAAAGAATAGTCCGAGATACCATATGTCTATATCTTATAAAAAAAGCCACAATAAAGTATTTTGTGACAAAAAATTATTGAACCCTGAACCTGAACCCGATGGTAAGTGGATGCTGGGCAAATTATATTCTCTATGATGCTGGGGCACATCTACATTTGCATGATTTATGGTAGGCCGTCAATATTTCCTAACTTCAGACAATCTTTAATAATACGATCGTAGTTGTCCACTCCGATACAATTCTGTACATACACAAAAGTTGATTGTATGACTATGATTTTTAGCAACTTTTTAAGGAATTTGTTTTTAACATCCCGCTAAGAAAATTGAAAACTTTCAAAAATATGCAAGTTATTGTTTTTTTTACAAGCCAATGTTTGACTACAAACCTAGCCGGTGGTAAGTGATACTACGACTAAGCTTTAGATAGATAAACCTCACTAGCATTACAAATGCCTATTCACTTTTGCCTTCAAGACGCCGAGACTGCAATCGGACAGAATTCTAACGCCAGCGGGTAATTCCTGCCGGGGCTGCGGGCTATTGCCGGGGCTGCGGGCTATTCGAAAGAGATACCGCGGCTCCGGAACGTAAGGGCACTGAAGGAACACGGATGGTTTTTAGTCAGTAAAAGTCTGACACTCCCTTACGCTCCACCCAGAGCGAGAGGGGTCATTAGATGATTTTCCATCCGCAAAAAAAAAAAAAAAAAAAAAAAAAAAAGGGTTATTCCACTCCTTTATTGTACGTTTTTTTTTAAAGTAAGTAATGAATACATCCTTACCAAACAATAAAACAAGCTTCAGATTGCAGTTAAAGCCTTACAATATTTCCTACCTAGGAGTCCGTCCGCTTAATAATTTCGGTCGCCATGTAGCAGCGCTTGCACTTCCGTCTTCCAGTCTGAAGGGTTTTTTTTATAGAATAA